AAAAAAAAAAAAAAAAAAAAAAGAAAGAAAGAAAAAGAAAAACGTCAAAGGGAGTGCCCCTGCTCCTTCTGCCATGTGAACATGAAGCACCAAGGCACTATCTTTTTTCTATTTATTTAGAGACAAGGTCTCACTCTGTTGGCCAGGCTGGAGTATAGTGGTGCTGTCATAGCTTATTGAAGCCTTGAACTCCTGGGCTTTAGGGGTCCTCCTGTCTCAGCCTCCGGAGGAGCTAGGGCTACAGGCATGTTCTGTTATGTTCGGCTATTTTTGTTTTTTTACATTTTATTTTTTGTAGAGACAGGATCTTGATTGTCCAGGCTGGTCTAGAACTCCTGGCCTCAAGTGATCCTCCTGCTTTAGCCTCCCAAAGTGCTAGGATCACAGGCATGAGCCACTGCACCTGGCCAAGGCAGCATATTTAAAGCAGAGAGCCCTCATCGGACACCAAAATGGCTGGTATTTTGATCTTGTACTTCCCAGCTTCTAGAGCTATGAGAAATACTTTTCTGTTGCTTATGAATTATCCAGCCTAAGATGTTTCATTATAGCTTAAATAGACTAAAACACTAAGTTATTACTTAGCACATTAACAGAGAGGAATTAAAAGCTGTCAGAGACAGCAGGAATAAGACTCTTAAGTAAGATAAGGGGCAAAAAGGTATCATTAATAGAAGTTAGAAAACAGCAATTCCAACTTTGCTAAATTACTATTTTGCTCAGGGGCCAACCCTGGTTTCAGAAAGGGCTTCATACTGTTTTAAAATACTGGTTTTGTATGTGTGCATATGTATGTATATATTTGTGTATTATGTATTCACAAGCAGAAAGAATCAATCGACAATCTTGAGATTGTTTTATCAGAGACCTTCTTCAGTGGAAGAATGGTTTCTTCTTATCATTTCTAAGCAAAGAGTATTTTTTTTCCAAAATGAAAATGTGGAAGACACTGGGATTTAGGTCTGCTGAGAAAGGCCATGTCTTCACTTGCATGAGTGAGTCATTCTTAAGCTGCCCCCACCTCTACCTGTCCCCTACTATGCTCTCAGCTGTTGCCTGTGCTGTGACCTTGAGGTTGAGCACATTCCCTTGAGTGTACCTTGCAGCCCTGCCCTAAAATTTGGTGGCAAACTGAAAGATAACCTTGCACTCCTCACTCCCTGTGGCTCCCTTTGGCATGTCACTCATATACTGAATGGATTTATGATGACTTGTTCAATTCAATGTACCTTCATTTATCTGGTGGCATTTTGTCATAAAATTCACAAATTCCCTTAATTTTGCTACTTCCCACATCAAAATCAGAAAGTTAAAGAAGAAAGATTGTAAGGAAGTTTTCACATTAAGGATTCCGGTGACAACAACCTGGTGATTTTTCAGTCAATCAGGATTTTTTTTTCCCTTGGGAGGAAATATAAAGTAGGTGGATAATTATTTAGTTGAGCTTAAAATGTTTCTTCCGCATGAGTTCCAGAGAAAATGAAGATGCTTTTGTTATTAGCAAAGTAATGAAAGGAGGGCCCGAGGTTCTAGAGGTAGGGGAATTTGAGAGGAGGTGGAGTTGAGGGGGAGGTTTGCAATGGTGGTGTTAAGGGAATGGGAAAATGAAGGAAAGAGAAAGGGAGTAAATGGCTTTTTAAAACAAAACCTAGAGCATTATGTGCCAAGGAGACTAACGTTGACAAAAGAAAGCTAAGTTTAAAGTTGCCATTAGAAATCATGAGTTCAAAATTCATAATTACAGCAAATTTGATTTGTTCTTCCAATGAAATATTGAATATCTCATGCCATGAAAATGGTCTTTGATTAAATGAGAGATTTTTAAATGGCAGGAAAATAGTTACATGTACCATCAAGTATACATCTTGTTAGGTATTTGCTTGACTATAAAACCCCGAATTTGAGTCTTTCTTTCTTGCCAAACCCTTGAGTAATGGTAAGAGATGCTATGATTCAGGCATTTTAATGTAGAAAATTAAAGTAACACATTTGTTGAGGTAAATTAGCTATCTCTAACACAGGAAAGAGACATTTGTCATTTGATGATGACATATATTCTCCTGGGTCTCTTTTTAATATTATTGGAACAGAATTATAAAATGTTAAGACTGGAACAAATCAGCCCATCTGGTCTTTAAGGTTGATTGATTTACCCAATTTTTGTGTACCTGTATTTACTTAAAATTCTTTAGTTCTTAGTTTATTTATAAGTTGGTGAGGACTAGAGTAAATTAAGTCTTAGGTCTTCCTACTTTCTATAGTTCATCTGTTATCTAACATATCTTTTTCACATGTATCTTACAATCAGCGTTCCTTAATCACTGTCACAGAATTGTCAGCAGGTTTTCCTTTCCTATTTTGAAGGTACATAAAATAATGGTGCATTTTACAATGACACTCTCTTAGCTTTGTTGAAATATGCTGTGTAATTGATACCTGAGCCCCAAAGATACCAAACTCAGCTAATGGCATCATCAATCAGCCAATCATTTCAAAACGAACTTAGTTCATAGTCCTCGGCACCTTTGAGAGGTGAATGGAATTTCGATTCCAGGAAAGAATGTAGTAGATGGAGGTTCCTGGATATTCTGGTATAGGAGTGTAAAATAAGCAATTAGACAGTTATTTCCTTATAGCTAAATATGTTTGTTTAATAGGTAATTAATTCAAAAAGCATTTTTTGAATTTCCATGTATTATGCTGTCAACTGAGATAATAAACAGGAAGCAATATCTATCTTCATGGAATAGGCTATTAATGCAACAAGGGCTGCGTTGGGATGGAAGAAATTACACAGAAAATCTCAAGTCATTAGAAAAGGCTTTCTGTAGAAGGAAATAGCTGAGAACTAAAAAAACAAGCAGTCTTAGCCAAGTGAATTATATAGAAAGAAGAGAAGGGCATTCTAAGGAAAGAAAGCAGATTGTTCAATGAACCATGATTCAAAAGAAAAAGAAACCCATTACGCTAAGGGAAGTAAATCTTGTTCAGACTGTCTAGACGCTCATAAGGACGTCAAGTTTTCCTTCCTTCTTTCTTTCCTTCCTTCCTTCCTTCCTTCCTTTCTTTCTTTCTTTTTCTTTCCTTT